GCTTCCCACCAAACAATTGTAAAGAAATATTGCGAAAGGGATTCAAAATCAGCTTTTGCGAAGTTTGGCAAAGGGAGCTGTTCAAACGTCTGTCCCGAAAAGTGAATACTGAAAGCAACAACGGAGTGGTCAGAAGCGGCACAGGTGGCAGCACATACAGATTTTCAATAATTGCAGCGTTCGCCAAGATCAAGAATCGAGTAGCCCCGTGTAGGAATGCTGACGTATTGTACCAACTCACTAGATTTAAACAGTTCAAGAAGTTTCAAGGATTTAGGATTCTTAGCTTTTTCGGATAGCCAGTCTATATCAAGATTTAAACCACCAAGTCAAGATTAATCGATGTTGCATGTTTTAGGTGTTTGCTTTGCATGTGCATGTCACCACCAGCGTCAAATTTCGTAGATTGCGATTAAATCAACAAAAAAGGCATTTCTGTAATGCAAGGGAAAAATTCATATGGTGCGGAAATTTTGTCCTCCACAAAACCCGAACCATCGCTCCTCGTACATGAATCCTGAAACTTATCACTGCATCAAGCCATCACTGAGGATTAAGCGGTATAAAGGAATGAGACGGTTCTGGTAATGGCGACAGCTCACAGCAGAATATCGCCTTCGACAATGGTCAACATAGAACGACATGAAGTGAAAGCCTATACCAAGTCTCATTTTGCATTCATGTGAGCCGGCAATCAAATTGGCGATCGGGGCAGCAATTCAAGTTGGAAACTCTCAGTCGCAACAATGCGTATTTTCCCTATTTGGACACCGTCAAACAATGATATAAGGCTGCACAATGAGGTCAATTCGATACACAATGAAACAAAAATAAAACAATCAATACAATGAACGGCCGAAATCCTTGAAATTCAGACATAGACTTAAGGATTTCGGAAGCACACATATTCATCAAGGATATGACGTAATTCTTGGCCAGAACCGCCTCAAAAAAATCGGTACACTTGCTTCTATATTTTTTAAAGTTCCATCATAGTTTCCCAGCACGGCTTCATTGCTTACGCATTTTTCTTCGAAATGTATGCATTATCTTCGGTAGTCGCTAGATCGCGCTTGAAAGACCCGCTTCAATACATGGCAAATTCGAAGCACCGCTGGGCCGGTCATCTACTTCGTCGAACTGATGACAGATAGAGCCTTCGAGTCACAGAATGGCTTCCGAGAAATAAAAGAAGACCGTCAGGACGTCCGCCGACTCGGTGGGTCGATTCGTTTTCCAAATATTTCAGAGAAAGCGGCCTACATTGGATGCAAGTCGCGAAAGATCGGGCGGTGTGGAGGAGCTGTGGTCCGCGCTGAGAAGACCCTCTTGCCGAAGGACCATCAAAGTATCAAAGTAAAGTATCAA